TATGTTAAATGGAAGAGTGTATTAATTATTTTAATCTGAATTTCCACACATCTTTTTTTTTTTTTTTTACCATTTTCCACGTATATTGTTAGAAACAAAATTTCAACTACCTTAAAATTAGGTGAAGACCTTTAGGACCAATAGTTTCTGATGTTATTCACTATTTTTTTTTTTTTTTGGAATTTTATTATATGCATTTGTTAATATGTTAGCATCATTATTTTATTTTGAAGACATTGATGTCGAACTAAAAAGTAAAGAGTTTCACCTGGTTTAGAGCAGGGATAAATATCACCAGGCTGGCCGTTGATGAGGTAGGCGTCGGAAGTGACTCCTAGGCCGGCGTAGCGTTCAAGATCTAGATATACCTGCATTATATCTTCTTGCCACCACTCTCCTGCATTTTCAGTAATCCCAAACATTCCAAATCTTTATTTAATCAATGAAATTATTTTAAATTTATAATTATTTTTTTAATTACCTAATATGATGGGAATTTCTACATCGGGTTTCGGAAAAGGATATCTTGTTCCCATCTTGGGATAGATAATCAGAGCACCATGGACAGTTGCTCGCAACCATGTGCTATGAGCATGCCACCACAAAGTTCCTTCTTCGGTAGTAAAAATGATCTTCTGCCTAAATTTTGCTCCTGGTTGAATAGGACACTGAGTGATGTACTCTGGACCATCAGACCATGGATTTCTTGGCTGTTTCACACCATGCCTGCCGAAGTATGCTACCAATTAATATTATATGAGTAATATTAATCTAACCTCCTTCCGGTTCTACAATATTTAAGTGGTGATGCAATGGTTTGAGATAATTAATACCAATGAATGGTGATGTTATAGTTTCCTCTGTTGTAAACATCTACAACGATGGTGTCTCCTTTATTAACATATAAAGTAGGACCCGGAAATTGGCCATTTACAGTAAGTATGTTCTTCGTGCTGCATAGTCTCGTATACGGAGCTTCCTTCACCTACAGAAACAATTTAAGGTAAATACAATGGCATATTAATTGTTGTTTATATTCAAAAAAAATCGGAATAAGTACTTACGATGAACTTGTAATGTGGACACGCTTGGCATTGGTAGAAAAAGAAAAAGACTAGGAAGCCTAAGAGTTTGGAAGTAGAGACTTTCATAGTGGATAGTAGCGAGTTGGGTTATACATAGAGGCGAATGAGGCATTTATATACAAAAATATAAGGCTTAGAGGCTGTACGTACCAAAAAAGATTGTCACGTTTTTTTCACCATATTCGTGTTAAGAACTCCCACCTAACAACTTCCAAGGAAATTCCTTCGCTGCGCACCACGATCTAAACCTACCACTTTATCATGCCTCACCCATTAAAAAAATTGAAAAAGACTTTCTCAATTATGCATATCCAGTTTCAGTCGTTCGCTCTCTCTTTAATTACATTTCTTATCAACAAGTGGATTATACAATTGGTGCATTCTACAATATTGATTTGGGATCAATTTTAGGAATTCAAACATTTATAATTTAAATATATAGCTGATTAATCTAGGTTTATTAAAAAAAAAAAAGTTCAACATGTGTCTTATTTTTTGTCTCAAACTATTTTATTTCCAAAATTTTAAGTTACAACTTTAAGGTTGGATTCACTTTTAGCACTTTTACAAATTTTAAGTTCCTTCATGATAAATAAAAGCATCCCAACAGTTCTAGCAGCAGCAGTTTGTATTTCCCACCACTTTTAGCACTTGGACCAGATTTGGGTGGTTATCTTGGATGTGAGAAACAGATGAGTGCTGTCTTCTAGATGTTCAGCACAAAGACAACAAATAAGCTCGCTTGCATCTTTAATGATACCTCTCTTGAATAAATTTGTTTTGGTTGGTAGTTTATCAAGAATCAGCTGCCAATTGAATGCATACACTTTAGTTGGTACACATGGGTTCAAAACTCTTTCAAAGACATGACTACATGGCACATCTTATGTTGATACCAACAAGGAATACCCTGGTTTTGTTGAATAAACATCTTCCTTGCCATGCTTCCAGACCCATATATCTTCCTTCCCTTGGTGAAGATGTGTTGCTTCAACAATGCTTGTCAACTGGTCCACAGATTCCAGTTACTAGGAGAGTAGTCTGTGCCGCCATTATAATTGCCAACACATTTCCCATTTTGCTAGGAACCCATTTAAATAATTTTGTGGTCTGTACCTGCAGAGAGCATAAATAATCTTAGGAATCTAGATGCTAATACTCCTTCATTGCACCACAGATCTCTCCAAAAACTAACATCCCTCCCATCCCCAACTTGCACCTAAAACCCATTTGACAACCATCCTTTCATTCTTTATAATTATTTTTCATTAATTTTGCAATCTCTTCCCCTCAGCCCTTTAAGTTTCATGCTTTTATAAAAATAGTCCACTGACTTTTACTTTTATCATTTAGCCCCAATTAAAATTGGGTTATGACAAAGACTTAACATTAGAAACTAGAAATTAACACCACCGACACAAAATCTTAGCACAAGAAACAGATTTGGGGATAGGGCCAAACAAAATCAAATTAAAATTAAGCAGAAAAATTAGAAATCACAAAAAAGAAAAAAATGTAGGAGGAACTTCTGTAAGCTCAAAATTCATAAACATTGGGAAATTTAAAATAACGAACAAGTTCCTTTGCTATTCCCCCTTCCTTAATATGATTTCAATCCACAGTCCTATCTTAATCCATCAATTACAAATTCAACAAATATAGAAACCCAAAATCAGCAGAGCTCTCAACTGAATAAATATGAAACCTAGAGCAGTAATTAGAGCATCTCAAACTCTATTCATTGCATCAATCCAAGCTAGATAATGAAGATAACGTACAACACATTTATGGGAATTAAAGAATCAATTAATCTCAGTTCCAACGTTAAACAGAAGACGCGAATCGCAGGTCAGAGCAGTACCTGATCTGGAACAGAGGACCAATGGAGCACAACTAGCCGCATGAGTTTCCCCCATGGCTGAGATCAGCACAGGCACAATTAGAACAACTGTGAATTCTTTCCAACAATTACTCCTTCCCATAAATATCTGGTTCAATCTGCGTTCCACAAACCCACAAAGCCAGAAATCTGGATTTGATTGAACCTGAAAATTTGGGTTTTATCACCTAGATTTAGAAATTTATGAAGAGGGATAGGAAAGAGAAAGAAGACCGAGAAGAGAAATATATTTCAAGAGGAGAAGGGTGGGAGAGAAGCATAAAAAAGGAGAATGAATGGAAGGACAACAAAACCAGAGTAAAGGAAGACGACTGAGAAAAAAAGAGTGATCGGAGAAGAAGATGAAGCTAGTGGGCTTCATGTAATTTACAATTAATTTGATTTAATAAACAATTAAATATTAATTTATCTTTAAAAAATTATTTTTTGTCCAAGTCATTGCTAACTCATCACTTAATAACAGAACAATTGAAAGGCAGACAAAAAGATTACGCCTTATGATGTCATAATTAACTAAAGGGCTCAACGGCCCGTTCCGGTCTAGTAGTATTATACGTTTGGTTAAGATTGTTCACTTCTAGTGAATTGTTGGGTTAGGGTTGTTCACTTCCAGTGAATTGCACGTTCGAACCTCACATATTCTTTTTTTTCTTTTCCCCAATTAATCCTATAAATAATTATAAATTGTTCAAAAAAAACTAAAGGGCTGATATGTGGATTCTGAATAGTTGAGGGGCTGACCTGCACTACTTTTATGTACGGGCCCCTTTACCTCAATAATTTCGTATATTTTAATCATATTGACATTTTAGCCCCCAACTTCAAAAGTCTAGAGGAAATAACCCTCGTGTTAAAATATCGGTTAAAAATAAAAGGGCATATTTGCAACTAAGTCCTTAAAGCAAAAAAAAATCCAAAATGACACTTTGGAATACAAATATTAATTGTTATTAGTTAGATCCTAAATCTAGAGAATTTTAAGCACAACAATCATAGCAGTTCTAAGTAGATTGAAGGAGTATTAAACTTTGTTGTAGATTTATTATATCATGTATTTATGAAAGTAGAAAAAATAGAGAAATTATTATATGTGTTTACTGAAATTGGAAAGTTAGATTTAAATGAAGGAAGTAAAATATTACTAAAATTTTTAGAAGAAAATTTTAAAATATGACAAAAAAGAAGTCCAAGTAGATAAAAGTACATGAGATGTGGATATTTGACTGGGAAAGTTTAAGTTAAACCCACATGAGCATCTAAAACCAATAGGAGAAAGTATGACTAAAGAAGAAATCCTTGAGATTTGGGAAAAGGCTAAAAATGTTGAAGAAATGATATATTGGGAACATAAATTGTAGGAGTTAGAATTCCTTATGGAAAACATAAAAATGACAAAAAAGGAAGAAGGAAGCCCTTTTGAAAGAGATGGACCTTCAAGTAAAAAAGAAGAAAATGAGGAAGTAAATGATGAAGAAGCAATGAATCAATATGCTAAAACATGTGAGTATTTAAAGAAAGAAAAAGAAAAGCTTGAGAAAGTACCCCCACCTCCTAAGTTTGTAGAAGAAATATTAGTAGGAAATGGTCAAAATTTTATCTATACGAGAGAAACAAAGCCTAGAAAGATGAAAGGAATAGTAGGAAAAGGAAAATATAGGAGTCTTGTTAAACATGAATTCCTACCTCGATTAGATAGAAAAATGCAAGCAGTTTTGATTATAGGTGTGTTGACGACTACTTAAAAGGGATTAAGTGTGAAAATATTAAAGAAAAGGGAAGTCGTCACTCGTCCAAATTATAAGGTGGGACAAGTTACTTAAAAATAGGTCTGCGTAGAGATCGGGGTTCGGGGGTTTGGTTAAGAGTGAGGAAGGGCATACGCGCACCTCACAATCCTCCGTTTAAACACAGTTGCATACTTTAACATTAGGGGCTTTAATTCAGCTTATTCATTATATTTGTACTTAAGTCTTAATCAACAAGCTTAAAAGAAAGATAAACCAAATTGAAACATTTTTTAGGTTTTTGGACTAAAATGGACAAATTCGAGAACATGCATGTGAAGTGAGCATAAATAAAAAGTTAAAGGACTAA